TCAAAATCCTCACTCTCGTGTTCAATTCCATCTACCCCCTTCTTCCCCTTGCCCCCCCTGGAACATCCTTGAACAAGGATGTTCAAATCCTTGCCCCGTCTCTCCTCTTTTCAAGTCCCACCTGAAAACTTTCCTCTTCGGCCGTGCTTATGACCGCCATCCTTCTCCCCCCGGCTCGGAGTCAGGCCCAGGCTCCCCCCAGCTCTGAGACGCTACCCTGCATGGAGAGCGCTATATAAGTGCAAGTTGTTGTTGAATACCGGGAAGGAGGCAAGGCAGGGGATTGAGGAAAAAAGTGCCATAGTTTCTGGGCGTAGTGGCTCAAACAGGGTCATTGATGGTGGAGCGGAGGAGACGAGGGACGTGTAGAAGGCCAGCTGAACTGAGGTGTGGGTAATGGGGTGGGGTGTAAGCAGGTTGGAGAGGAAGGGAAATGCCAGGGCATGAAGTGATTTATGTGGCAGCTTTATCTCTGTAAATGTGCATCAAGGCAAAAATTGCCATTTGACTGTAGATTAGAATGAAACAACTGACGTAAGTTACTGATAACATTACCATGGGGTCAAAGTCAAATAAATGCAATTTTTGGAAGTTATCTGCACGGTTGATGTCATGATGCCTCTCTGTCCTTCCTCTAATTGCCTGTCTGAGTGTCTGGTTTCTCTTTGTGAGCCAAGTGCGGCAGTTCAGACTGTACACCCTGACAATTACCATATATGGTCAGTTACCTGATGAGCTGTGGGAACATGGGAATCTTTGCTGACTCAGTGATACTGCTTCAAGGCCTTTCTTAGCCAATCCAGGGCTCCTTTGTTTGCAGATATCTGGGGCATTAATCTCCTGTCTAATCTCCTGTTTCCTGCATGCGTCACATTTCTTGAAGCAGCACTGTTGACCGTATGTTTCTTAGCAATGAGATTGTTTTACTTGCTGCATGTATGGATTGTGATTCAGAAACCCACAGCACGGCTCACACTGGGCCAAGTATTCAAATGAATGAATACTTGGCCTAGGTCCTAAATTGAAGCAAATGTTGAACCACCCTTTTGTAAGGTGCATTCCAACCTCCTGACATCAGCCTGTAAACAGCACAAAACATACAAAGTGTACTTTTCTTGAAAAAACACCACTAATTGGATTTCCTTTCATCTCCTCACTGCCATGGTGATTATGATGATAGAATTTATTGCTGCCTGTTACCCAGTGGGCAATGAATGTTGTTTGACAGTCCATGATAATAGTTGGTGTGTAATAGGTGGCCTGTGTTTAATCAGAAGAATGACATTTATATGAGCCTTTGTCTGGCTGTCTATCCATTCACTATATGCCACAGCTTGCCTTGTAGATTACAAGTCTTTCACTCACACACCTCAAAATAAATTTAATTTATAATTAAAAATCTGCTTTTTTTTGTTCAGAAGATTCTGGTTCCTTTGAGTGTGGGTCCTTGCACAATCAATTCAAGATACTTTCCGTCCCTGTAATTGAATCCCTTTTATAAACTCCCATGCTCCATTGTTAGGAAACACAAATTGTTTTCTTTGTAAAATTGCAACCTTCAATATCAGCCATCCACTGTACATGTGAACAATACTCTTTCTCCCTCTGATCTGCTGGCAGGCTATTTCTCATTAATAGGAACAAAGGGGGATAAACATTGCTTGTAGGCACTATACAACATAAAGGATGGTCAGGAAATAAACTACAGATGTGTTTGAATTCCCTGGTTACTTTGGTACTAACAGCAACTTGATGCCATGAACAGTCTGCAGTGGGCCTTTGAGTTCATAGTCCAAGCTGACAATCCAAAGCAGTGCTGAGGGAATGATGCATTGTCAGAGGTGACATCCTTTGGATGAGATGTTAAACATCTCACCCTGTCTGCCTGTTCAGGTGGCCATTAAATAACCCATGGTACTGTTCCTAAAGACAAATCCTTCTGCCTGTGTCCTGTACAACAATGCTGCATTTGCCTTAAATCTTGCCCATTAAATCTTGTGAGGCACTTTGAGACATTTTGACAATGTGTTCAGATGCTGTATCATATGCAAGGATTATTATTACCTTGACTGACTCACAATGGAACTATCGCATTGTGGATCTGGTTTGTCACAGCAAAAAGTCACTCTATTTGGCGTACTTGATTAATGCTGCAGTTATAATGCGTGTATGATGGTAAATTACTGTGATTTTGTTGCTTCACGTGAACTGTCCATCCACCTCCTTCAGTGTGCTGAAATCAAAAGTTTTTTTCAATCTCATTCATGACAGGTTGAGGCCAGCGGAATTCTACCGCCTTTAATTTACCGTACTTGCTACAGTCTGCATACTTTTAATTTTGATATCACGTGACCATATCTTTCCTCCTCTTGTTTTTCTATCCAATTCAATTTTACCTTGGTGGCATACTGTACACGAATCTTCACCGCATCTCATTTGGTTTTAAAAAAGTAAAGCGATATAAATCACTGATATATCAAAGAAAAATTCTGAATAATTAAAAAAAATACTTCCAGCACTTGTATTTCTGGCTTCTAAACCCTACCAGAACCAGAATTTAACCAGAAGATAAGCCTTTCTGTGACAGGTAATCTGTCTGAAGTTTATTGCTGCTCAGCAGCTGCAGGAATGACTTTAATGAATACACTCAATGAATGGACCAGCTTACACCAGGCTTTTGGATTCTAGGCTTATCCCAAGAGTGCAGTATATCTTGTTCAATTCTAATGTTAGACAACCATGAGTGGGCCATTATCATATAATAATAATAATAATCCTTGCATTTGATATAAATTACAAATCTTCATCTATATTGTGTATATTGTGTATTCATCTATATTCTGGAATTAATACTCTACTGTTCTCAGCCTCTAATGAGTGGTTAAAGTGCTTGAGGTAATAAGTGGCTTAAGGTGGCAGTGAGGCTCAATGGGTTAGATACCCCATGAGAGATAATTATAGCTAATTACAGCTGAGGCTTTCTGGGAATTTGAATTTGTAAGTGTAGGTGTGTGTGTGGTAGTGGGGAGGTGGGTGGAGAGGAATTGCTTATACATAATTCCAGCCCAAGGTGACCAGTTACAGATGGAAATTCATTTTAAATATAGTATTTGTAAAATGCTGATTACAACAATAATAACAACAAGATTACATTTGTATAGAGCCTTTCATGTCGGGAGGACGTCCCAAGGCGCTGGACAGAGTACAGCATTTCAGACCCGAGCTGGGGTACTGAACATCATTAGTCTTTGTCAGGGTTGTGAAGGGCATGGCATGAACCTCATGAAACAAACTTGTTTATTGTTGCTTGCTTATATTCATTCATAATGATAAATAATCATAATCTTTGTGTTTGATATAACAATTTTCACATCAGGTCTTAAAAGGCTTCATAGAATTTACTCTAAAGTGTTGTCACTGTATATTTTGTAGGCAGCCAACATGGCAGCCAACATTAATGCCTCGCAAATAACTATGAGTGACTAACTGGAGAATTGTTTGCTAAGACACTGGGAGAAACTCCTTTTACTTTTCAAAAAGTGTCATCGATCTTCTGTCGGAAGGATGGCATCTTTGACAATGCAGCACTCCCCCAATATGGTAAAGGTCCTGATACAGGGCTTGAACTCACAACCGTCTATCTCAGAGGTATGAATGGTACCTATCATGTTGCAGCGATTTTCACAGATTTGTGTAGTGAGAGTTCCATCTGCTGGTCAGCTGTAGTGTAACCATTTGGAGTAGAACAGATTTGTTTTATCATATAATAATAATAATAATCCTTGCATTTGATATAGCGCTTTTCACGTCGGGAGGACGTCCCAAAGCGCTTCACAGAATATACTGTAAAGTGAATTGAAAATGACCAATTTATTATTGTTTTGTTTTTTTGGAGGGATTATTTAGCCTAAGCTAGTTAGTGAAACAGACTTTGAGTTAAATAATGGTAGAGTGGCAAGTTTGATTAATATATTGCTCACGCAATCACTTTAGGCCAGGATGCTCCCATTAATATGTTTTTTAGTGTGATAAAGGTTGTTTGAAATGTTTAAGTACTTTTCCCTTTGCATCATTGGAAACAGTAAATCAGTTGAAGGTTACTCAATCCAAATAACTTAGATATCTTTCACAAAATATTTATTTCAAAAGGAAGGAGCCAATGTCTTGTGAGTCAAGCAAATAAATGAATTTGTTTAAAAATATACATTTCATCTATCTTTAAAATCTGACATGTTATCTCAACAGAATGGAGAGCTGGATTTTGGTGGAAATACTCTTGAATGTGGAAGCAGGATAACTTTAGGATGCACCAAAGCAGTTGAATAAGAGGACATAGGTTTAGAGTTGCAAAGAGCAATGTGAGAACAGAAATGAGGAAATTTTTCTTTTCCCAGAGGGTAATTAATGACTGAAACTGGTTGCCAGGAGAGGTGATTGAATGCAGGACACTGGAATCACTTAAATGACAGCTCGATGCTGTGATGGGAAGATGGTAGGGTTCGTATTTCTGGAAGGATGAGATCAAATGGGCCAAAGGTCTTTCTTCATTAGAGCCAATTTAGTGATCTTGTGATTAGTATTCTGTACTTTTCATGATGAGAACTGTATTAAATTCCTGGATGAACCTTTTCATATCAAAATCTGGATATTAGGTTGGGAATGGAGCAGAACTTAAGACAACGCCACAGCAACAATGATCATGTATAAAGTAATTATTAAAAAGAACTAAAATGACCTAGTAATACCTGAAGCAGTCAAACAAACATTTCCTGAAAATATGTTTATGGTTGAGGTTTGATTCCCTGAGTTTTGGTTTATGATTGAACTTTTACAAAGGGATGTTCTCGGTTGGCCAAAAATAAAGCTTTCCATTCAGTAGCAGCAGCCTTAAGCTATTCCCGCAGAAAAGTCCTCCATCCAGTAGGAGTGCCCAGGAAATTTACAAGTCAAATGCAGTACTTGCTCGGATATTGTAAACTTCTCTTTGATGGTAACCATGGCTGTTACTGTGGTGATGAATGTAAACTAGACAGTGCCTTGCTTTACTTGACAACTGCACTGGCACTATAACTGGGTCACTTGAAAGCGACTACTTCAGAACAAATTAAACTTTATCAGAACAACAGAGATGAAAGATTTGATTGATGCTCACAGTCAGAAGTGTTGGACCGAACTCATTAATAAAGAAATCTGTACTCGGATAGCCTGGAAAACCAAGTACGGGAATGAGCAAGCCGGGATTCAGCCCATTATACACAGGAAGAAGTATGACGTTCCTAAACTTGCTGTCTTGCCAGCTATTCCCAAAAAACATGGACAAAGGAAATATCCAGCCCAGAAAGCACCTGAAAAGCCTAACCTATTGGTGGCAGAGATGCGCCCAGTGACCCCTCAAATTCGACGGCTGCTTTATGAAGGCTTCTCTCAAGAGCAGACAGGCAGGTACCAGTACCTGCAAGAGAGAAAAGCACAAGACCCAGTTGAAAAATTCCCATATCCTCTCCTATCATCCTGGGACTATGGCTGGAGGCTGGGTAAGTAAAATAAATTGGTAAGCAGCGAAGTTCCACTTACAATATCTCTATCTTATTGTAAAGTCCTTCTAGTTCTCTTGTCCTGTGTTGCCAATTCTATTTCAGCTGTGTGGGATGGGTGAGCACCACGATTCAGTGCTTGATTGATTGTATATGGATGGGGCTGACGATTGAAGTGAAGTTCTTGCATTTCATAGCATACAGAAACGGCAGAATAAGAGGAGGTCATTTAGACCATCAAGCCTATAAGGCTGCTAGTTCATCCACTGAAGCCGACTCCTCTAATTCCAATTCGCTGTTCTTTCTCCATAACAGTTTATATCCATCCTCTTCAAATATTTATTGATTTTTACGAACCAAATTCCATTTATGACCAAAAGCATTTTTATAAAACAACGATCATCCATTAGAATGGAAAGATCTGAAGTTGACATAATTCATAGAATGTTATGGTACAGAAGGAAACCATTCGGCCCATCGAGTCTGTGCCAGCTCTTTGACAGAGCGTCACTTTCACTAACCCCAATCACCAGCTTTCTCCCCATAACGCTGCAAACCCGTCTTCCCCAGATACCTATCCAGTTCTCTCTTAAAAGCTGTTATCGAATCGGACTTCACTACCCTTTCAGGCAGATCATTCCAAATTCAAACAACTCGCTGAGTGAAAAAATGTCTTCTAACCTCCCCTCTGCTTCTTTTGGTAGATATCTTAAGACTGTGACCACGAGTCACAGACACACCTACCAGCGGAAACAGCTTTTCCTTATCTCGCCTGTCGAAACCTTTCATGATCTTGAAGGCCTCTATCAGGTCCCCGCATAACCTTCTCTGCTCAAATGGGAAAAGTCCTAACTTCTCCAGCCTGTCCTCATAGCTAAGGTTCCTCATTCCTGGTATCACTCTCGTGAATCTCCTCTGCACCCTTTCCAGTGCCTTAATGTCCTTCCTGAAGTAAGGTGCCCAGAACTAGACGCAGTACTCCAGCTGAGGCCTAATCAGTGTTTTGTATAGATTAACCATAACCACCCTACTCTTATACTCTATGCCCCTACTAATAAAGCTCAGTACACCAAATGCCTTTTTTACTGCCTTATCTACCTGGCCCGCTACCTTTAATGATTCGCTTACTTGAACACCCAGATCTCTCTGTATGTTCACCCCCCTTAAGATTGAGCCACCAAGTCTATATTGCCTTCTATCATTTTTCCTACCTAAGTGTATCACCTCACACTTATCTACATTGAAATCCATCTGCGATATGTCAGCCCATTCCACCATTCTGTGTATGTCTGCCTGCAGTCCGTCACAATCTTCTTCACTATTTACTACCCTACCTAACTTGGTATCATCTGCAAACTTGGAAATAGTGCTCCCTATGCCCAAGTCCAGATCATTAATATATATTAGAAAGAGCAATGGTCCCAATACCGATCCCTGGGGGACACCACTGCACACCTCCTTCCATTTTGAGAAACACCCATTAACCATCACCCTCTGCTTTCTGTCACTCAGCCAGTTCCTAATCCAATTTAATGTTCCCTTTAAACTGCATTCAGGTTCCCATTAATTCCATTCTAAAGGTCTTAAGGTACGTAGTTGAATTTTCAGAGGAACTGTTTAAATGCTTACAACAAAACGCAAAATACTGCAGATGCTGGAAATCTGAAAACAAAAACAGAAGTCGCTGGGAAAACTCAACAACAACAACAAAATTACATTTGTATAGCGCCTTTCACATCGGGAGGACATCCCAAGGCGCTGGAGGTCGGTGTGGGGGAGGGTGGAGGGGTGGGGAAGTAGGGAGATCGAAAGCACGGTCGAACAGGAGGGTCTTGAGGTGGGTCTTGAAGGTGGTGAGGGAGGAGGCGAGATGGAGGTACTATGGGATGGAGTGCCAGAGGGTGGGTGCAGAGTGGCGGAAGGCCTGCCCGCCAATAGTGGGGTGAGCAAGGCAGGGGACGTGAAGCAGGCCGGAACCCGCTGAGCAGAGGGAGCAAACAGGATGGTAGGGGGTTAGGAGGTCGGAGAGGTAGGGGGGAGCAAGACCGTGGAGGGCTTTGAAGGTGAGGACCAGGATCTTGAACTGTATCCTCTGTGTGATGGGAAGCCAGTGGAGTTAGGCAAATTGATAGGGTCGTGGAGCCTGGTGCAGGAGAGGACATGGGCTGCAGAGTTCTGGATGATCTGCAGCCTGTGGAGGGAGGAGTTGATGTAATGAAAGCATGGGTTTCAGTGCCCTGTGGTGTGAGACAGTGGCGGAACCAGGCAATGTTGCGCAGGTGGGGGAAGGCAGAGCGGGTCATAGCACAGATGTGGGGTAGAAAGGATAGTTGAGGGTCAAACAAGACCCCAAGGTTCTGGACTGACTTAGCAAGGTGGAGTGTACAACCATGGATGGTGATGGTGTGCAACCTGAGGTGAGGAGGCGCTGACGGGAGCCAATCAGGAAAGCCTCGGTCTTGTTGACGTTCAACTGAAGAAAGTTAGCTCTCATCCAGGACTTGATGTCTGATAGACATTCTGTCAGCACAGCAGTGGTCCTGGAGTCAAGGGGGAAGGCAGAGAGGCAGAGTTGGGTGCCATCCGCATATATGTGGAAGTTGACCCCAAGTCTGCGGATGATATCACCAAGCACATAGATATTGAAGAGGAGGGGACCAAGGACAGAGCCCTGAGCAACAGTTCACGAGACTGTTCAAGGGCTACCGGAGAAGCTGTTTGAGGAGATGAATTGCAGGCGGTGTGAGAGGTACAATCTGAACCAATCAAGGACAGTGCCATGGAGGTTGAAGTGAGAGGAGAGGCGGTGGATGAGGATAGAGTGGTCGGCGGTGTCGAAAGCAGCAGAGAAGTCAAGGAGGAAGAGGAGGCAGAGGGAGGCCTGGTCGCAGATGGACAGAATGTCATTTGTCACTTTGACCAGTGCGCTTTCTGTGCTGTGGGCGGCATGGAAGCCCGAAAAGAGGGGTTCGAGAAGGGAGTGGCGGGAAAGGAAGTAGTGAAGCTGAGAAGCAACAACTCATTCCAGAACCTTGGAGAGGAAGGGGAGGTTGGAGATGGGGCGGTAGTTAGGGAGTAGAGAAGGGTCCAGGGAGGGATTTTTAAGGATAGGAGTGATGACAGTGGATTTTAAAGGGGTGGGAACAGTACCAGAGAACAAGGAGAGGTTGACAATGTTAGTGAGTAGAGGGGCAAGGAGGTGGAGCTGGGAGGTAAGGAGAGGGGTAGGGATGGGTTTGAGGGAGCAGGTGGTAGGTTTCATACGGGTTATGGTGGTGATGAGTGAGGAGGGGGAGACGGGTTCAAAGGTGTGGAGGGAGGGATGGGTAGGGGCTGGGGTGGGAGGAGGAGATGGGGAGGTGGGTAGCAGATACAGTGGCAGAGGCAGCTGAGCGGATTCCCTCGACTTTGGATTCGAGGAAGTCCAGCATCTCCTTGTAGTTGGCATTTGAGGTGAGGATGCGTGAGGAGTGAGAGGGAAGGTGGAGGAGCTGGTTCGTGATGGAGAAGAGGAGCCTGGGGTTGTCCTTAGCCTCCAAGATTGTCTTGGAATAGAACGACGAAGTAGTGGAGGCGAGAGCGGAGCAGTAGGATTTGATATGGTCCAGCCAGATCTGCCGATGGACAGTTAGGTTTGATATAAGCCAGGTGAGCTCAGCGAACATGCCTGGGCTTTAAGGGAGCAGAGGTGGCTGGTGTACCAAGGTGATTTCGCGAGTAGGAGATGGTTCAGGAAGAGAGGGGAGCGAGGGAATCGAGAGTGGAGGAGAGGGAGCTGTGGAGAAGAGTGACCGAGGAGGATAGGTCATTGCGTGAGGACACCCAGAGGGGAAGGAGTTCAGATGACTCCAAGGAAGCCGAGGGTGGTGGGGGGAGATTTTTTTCCAGCGGCAGTATGAGATGGAGGTGGGTTGGGTGGAGAAAGGGATTGAGGAATTGAGGGAGCTGAAGTGATGGTACAAAATCGCTTTGTCGATGATGGTGAGGTCCAAGATGGTGAGGCCCCGTCAGCAGGTCAGGAAGCATTTTTGGAGAAAGGAAAGTGAGTCAACGTTTTGGGTCCATGACCCTTTGTCAGAACTGTTTAAATGCTTAATGTCTAACTTGTTCGCCAGATGGAAATACCACAGAATATGGAATACCCAGTCATGGGCGATTGAGGATTGTACAGGACACCTTCTGCACAAGAAATGGTGTCTTCTGCAAAACGTCTCCAACTGATGCTTGGTTAACCTGAACAATCGGGCAGGGGGAGAGATAATAAAACTCCTCCCTCTTCAGATCTCTCTGATAAAACACGTGTGTTCTGTGAAGCGCTTTGGGATGTCCTCCCGACGTGAAAAGCACTATATCAAATGCTAGAATTATTATTATTATTGAGCAAAATAATCTCATGGAACCTCTGAAAACGGGCACTTTCAGAATTATATTTTGATTTACATTCACTACATTTATAATTTTAATTTCAATAAATGTGTCTTTAAAGATTGGTTTCAATGGTCCAGTTTTGTGCTAACCTGCTGTATGAGCTGCTTTTATATCAATTGAATTTGATGTCTGAGCAGACCTGTTTTAGAAAAGATGTTCCTATATGGTGAATGTCAATTCTGAATCTGTTCCATTTTTAATAATTTAAATGTCAGAATACAATACGCTCACAAATAACATTTAAATAACGTGCAATCAATTAATAATTTTTGCCGTAAAGTGCACATCCTGTGCACAGGCTTCGAATGATGAAGGCCCTTCAACCCATTTGATCTCAGTTTTCCAGAATATAGTCTTTCCAATGCAGAGTCAAGCTTTCTTAAACAAGTCCAGTATCCTGGCATCAATGATCCATTCTGATAACCCATTCTAGCATTTAAACTAAATTAACAATAGAATGTGTGTTTAAACATTGTTATTTAAAAAGATTGTTATGTTAATTATGTTCAGCAAAAAAAAACTATCTGCAGCAAAATATCTGAAAGGATTCTGGCTGAACTGTGTATTTTATTATGGTTGTGTTTTTAAATTTTTTATCTGGATTTATTATGCTTCTCTTTAATTTCTCCTGGTTGAATATTGCTTGGTAACTCTAACACACCTGAGAGCCATTGCATCGCAGGCAGATTGGTAATAGCTTGTTTATCCTCGCAGCTGCATTTGATAAGTATCAGGGAGAGAGAGCGAGAAAGATATAAACATTCACTGGACCAGGCTGATCAAACTTCCCCCACAGTTCATTCACCTTAAATTTGCCACACAAAACACACACATCACTGAAAAGTGCAGCCATGTGGTGTAGATGTTTTCTTTCATCTGCTGTTCAGATATGTAAACTCAAGCGCAGTGATCCATATCTCTCTTCTGTCATTATCTTGGTTCTTTTCTGGTCATGGGTGTGCGTGTGTATGGGGAGGGGGAAGGAAATGAAATGTTTTTTAATTTATCTGAAAATCATGTAAAATTGAAAATGCAATATCACTAGTAATATTGTTCCACTTTATTTTTTAGTAATATTTTTGTGCTACCAAATTTCCCATTATAATTACGACTAGTAGAATTTCCTGTCCCTAGTGTCAAAGACCCTCGGGTCAGCTATTTGCAACAGTAAAACTCTTTCTGAGCTGCCCTCAAAATCTACCTTAATCCCCAATTCACAACACCCTCTGTGCCAATGTGATCTTTTTGTTGTTTATTACACCAGCTCAGTCCTCTCGCTGTCTTAAACCCCCAGATTGTAGTGTACCATTTTGAGACATGCAATGACCTAATTAATTGTGACCTAAATGTGTGTGAAATACTACATTTGAATGCTTTGAGACTAATAAGTACATAGGGTTGTAAGCAAATACAATGGCAGGCTAGGAGAATTTAAATCCCATTTGTGAATTACAGACAGCAGATGAGGAACTCTGCTGACCGCCACCTTTCACCTTCGCTCTCATTTCCAAGAGACTTGCACCAGGCTGGGGTTATTTTATAAAAAAGAATCTTTCAAAGTTTCAGTGAATTTAATTTGGCTTTTGCGGAGTTCATGCCAATTGGAAGTATTGGAAGAGACAGCTGATCTTCAACAAGAGAGAAATCAGGTTTTTTTTCCTTTTCACTGCATGTTATATATATTTTAATTTAGAAAAGCTGCCTCCCTCCCATCACTAATGTGTTCCCACATGCCACCATTTTCTAATTCATAAATAATTTATGGACTATCCAGCCAGCACTTTAACCCTTTAATGAAACTTGTGCCATCAAATAATCTGGTTGCTATGGGATTTTACACATTGCTCATTCCACAGCAGCATGTGATACAAGGAGAAACCTGAAAAAACAGATCACACCCTAGGGGAAGGTTCCTAATCTGATTTTAGCCAAATCAAGGTCTGCATGATTCATATGGGTGTTGCTCAAATTCCTAATTCAATACTTATACATTGTTTATGTTTTTGCAGGAATACAAATACTGTCGTGAATGTATCCTGTAACGTTTGATGGACAAGTTGTTTCTTAGTAACTCAATGCACTGCTGTGCAGTGTTTTTATAAAGCCTTCTCCTTTACAAAAATATTTGTCTCTGTTGCTGGGTCTACCTTATAATACAGAATTGTCACCCCTTTTGCTTTCTATACCTGTTTGTTGTTTAAATAGAGTAGTGCTTTTATTCAATATTTTTAATACTTATGGTGCCCTTCAAGTCTGATTCTAGCGTCGATTGCAACAATTTGGCGGTAAATTACTATTCCAATATGCAAATAAAGGATTGGAAGTGTACGTGCCCCCTGTTGGGCAACTGAGGGGGGCATCTGATTGGACCATAAAAAAGACACCAATTACATCAAGTAATTAGTGGACTGCAATACAATTACCATTAGGTACTAATTCAGGGAGGGGCTCAGTGCCCATAAAAGAACGAGCGTGGTGTGCTGTTGAAAAATACAAATTGTCTACACTATTTCCAAGAATTATATTTATTATATTATGAATGAACATCTTTTATACCTGTTCAATTCCAAAGCATATTAAAAAGTTGCATTGACTTACATTATAATCGAAAAGATTGTTAAATCAGTAAGCTTTTTCAAACATAACTAAGTAACCTCTTAGTGTAGAAAAATATACGTGAAATACATAAGTGAAATTATGTGTGCTTAAAAAAATCGGAACTTGGAATCCGTTTTTTTCTTTTACTTCTTATTTCAGCCTTGATGCCAAGCATCCTCTTAATCGATATGAAGCTCCCTGAGGTGCTATCCTGCGTGAAGGGTGCTATATAAATGCTAGTTGTTGTCAACTGGCCAACGGTCACAATTTGCTTTGCCAGCCTGTTGGCAATTGTTTAGCTGTAAATTAGTTAATTATCAACAAGGTGCATTTTCAGCAATGTGTTAATTAACTCAGCACATCATAATTTTCATCCCATTATATTACTGGCATATCCGGCTTTTATATTCCACTATTATTTATAATTGATGATGATTAGATGAGGAGCCTTCAGCCACCTTGTCCCCATTCTCGGGAACCCTTTTTCTAAATCTCTTCTTTGTACCCTCCTCTCTGTTTTTGAAAATTCTTCTGAGCACCTATCTCTTTGACTCAGTCATCTGCCAGTGTCTCTGAAAAACATTCAGAGACATTTATCTACTTGAATGTTGCTATACACATGCAAGTAACTGTAGTTTTTGAGCAATATGTTGATGGGAGCAGATCTGAATGTTGCTGCCTTCCTCGAATTACACAGATTTCATATAGCATTTCAAACTAAGTAATTGTTTCACAAAATGGTGGCCTCATGGTAAAGTGGTGGAGTTTGATGATGGCTACAGAAGCAAAATTCATTAAAAAAGTAGTGTAGCCACAATGAAGCTGATGCTTTTGGCTTTATCGTCTGAGAGAAAAAAGTCTGGAGGAGAAGCTCTGATCCTCTTGAAGTTCTACCTCCACAGGGAAGTGATCACTCACAGCCCACGCCTGGAAATGACAGAAAGGGGAAAGATCAGTCTGAGTGTTTGTCTTTACATATGACAGCAGCATTTAGAATGCTTAGATTTTAACTTCTTCAGATGATGATTTTATAATTTCTTTCCTCCTTTACCTGCCTGACGCTTCCGAAAACTACTTTATAATTATTCTGGTGTTCTAGAAATACAGCAAGTTCAAAGTTCAGCAAGCCTATCCAGTCCAGTCTGTGTTAAGTTAGCTGAAAATCAGCCAGTGTTTGTGCACCATATCATCATGTGGCCGGATAGGATGACAGGAAAGATAGATTCAGCTGGGAAACTCACTGTCGCACATGACTGAGTCAAATGTGTTCAGGAGAGGAGCTGCAAGAACTGTTGAGGAAAAGGTCTTAAATAGCAGTCAACTGGACATGTGATTGACTTGTGTATTCAGTCTCCCGGAATACTGTTCTGAAGTTACTCGTGTTACTTATTATTAGAACAACCAGTTCTGTTATTTCAATAGATTCTGATTCGTAATGATATGAATTGTGGAAACATCAATTTCACTACGTCCACAATGTCAGTAATATAATAATAATAATAATACCATCAGAACCTGCAAGGATTTACCATCTAATCCAATGCCGAGTGAAATAATGAATCAGCAAGTTACCAAGCCAAGTGATGTGAAATGTGTGCATTTGCACAAAGGTTAGGATCTTTGGAGTGCTGCTTAGTACACTTGGGATAGAATCATAGAATTATACAGCACAGAAGGAGGTCATTCGGCCCATCGTGTCTGTGCCGGCTCTTTGAAAAGAGTTACCTAAATCAATCCCACTCCCCTGCTATCTCCCCATAGACCCCCAAATAATGATTTCTCTCTTAAAAGTTGTTATTGAATTGGATTTCTCCACCCTTTCAGCCAATGCATTCTAGATCCGAACAACTCGCTGTGTAAAAGAATTTCTCCTCACCTCCCCTCTTTTAACAACTATTTTAAATTGGTATCCTTGGGTTACCGACCCATCCACCAGTGGAAATAGTTTCTCCTTATCAAATCCCCTCATAATTTTGAAAACCTAAGTCTCCTCTTTACCCTATCTGCTCCAAGGAGAATAATCCCAGCTTCTCGAGGCCCTCCCCATAACTGAAGTCCCTCATTCCTGGTACCATTCTGGTAAATTTCCATTGAACCCTCTCCAAGGCCTTGACATTCTTTCTAAAGTGTGATGCCCAGAACTGAATGCAGTCTCTCGCTGAAGCCTAATCGGTGTTTTATAACGGTTCATCATAACTTCCTGACTTTTGTATTCTATGCCCTTGTTTATAAAGCATAGTATCCCATATGCTTTTTTAACAGCTTTATCTACCAGTCCTGCCCCCTTCAAAGATTTCCTTATATGACCCCCAGGTCTCTCTGTCCCTTCACCCCTTTAAGATCGTACCATCAGCTTATACTGTCTCTCCTCATTCTTCCTCCCAAAATGTATCACTTCGCATTTATCCACGTTAAACTTCATCTGCCGCGTGTCTGCCCATTATACCAGTCTGTCCCCTTGCAGTCTGTTACTATTCCCCTTACTGTTCACTACATTTTCTAGCTTAGTATCATCTACAACTTAGAAATTGTACTCCCTATACCCAAGTCCAGGTCATTTATATTGATCACAAACAGCAGTGGTCCCAACACTGACCCTGGGGAAAAGCATTTATTTAAAAAATTATTATACTGTCTAGAAGTTTCCCAGCTACTGACATTTGGCTGACTGTAGTTCCAGGGTTTAGCCTTCTGCCCCTTTTTGTACAGGGGAGTAACATTTGCAACCCTCCAGTTCTCTGGCACCACCTTAGTCTCCAAGAAGGATTGAAAGATTGTGGCCAAAGCCTCTGCTATTTCCACCCTTACTTCCCTCAGTAACCTAGGATGCATCCTGTCCTCACTGGGTGACTTATCTACCTTGAGCACCGTCAAGCTTTTTAGTACTTTCTCTCTGTTTATTTTTATCCTATTCAATTTCTCTATAATTAGATAATTATTTGGGGGGGACAAGTTTGCAGGGCTATGGGGAGAGTGCGGAGGAGCGGGATTGATTTGAATAGCTCTTTTCAAAGAACCAGCACAGACACGATGCGCCGAATGGCCTGGAGCGAGGCTTAGATCGACACCTCAAGCAATGTCGCAACTCGACGCTTGGAGCAGCCCCTGACCTACACGCAAGTGAGGCCGAACAGGGTTCAGGGCCAGCACGGGCGCGGAGTCCAATGCCCCAAACAGCACCCTGATCCAACCCTGGGCCTGAGGCCCACTTGCCCCCGTGGTCAGGGACCAATGGACCTTTCGGTGAGAATGGGGGATAGAGCAGTCAGAGTGGCTGCTGTTGGACAGTCAGCGACGACTCCCACGGTGGGCCCAACGGAGGATTCGCAGGTTGGAGCAGAGGGAGGCTGTGGGACAGTCGAGCAGGGATAGGAGTTGGAGAGGGCGGTGGTTGAGGAGGACCGAGCGGGAGTAAGTGAGGGCAGAGGACAGGGCATTGTGGGGAAGCAGCTCAGGTCAGGGCGGCAGCCAAAGCGCACACACCAAGACTAAACGCAAGTGGCGGGGATGGGGGGGGGTCAGTGAGGCACGGTTAGCCCACTGGTGAGAGTCATCATGGGGAGAGGGAACAATGTTATAGTCCCAGTCAGTCCAGGCTGAGAGATTCAAAGGTGGCGGGCGGATGTTATGACACACAGCAGCCGGGCTCAGGTTGGCTGTTGAGCAGGAGAGTCAGCGATGGCCGCGGCGGCGAATCCCACGATGGCTCCCCGTGGCTCGGGTAGACCTCTCCTCCCTGATCCACATCCCAACCTTCCCTGTCAGTCCCCCGCCTCGCCTCCACTTTCCGCCACCAACTGTCCCCTCCGCACCAATCTACAAAACGTTCGTTCCCTCTCCAACAAAACACTCACCATCCAAGACCTCATCGTCGACATTCTCGCCCTCACCGAAACCTGGATCACTCCGGGCGACACCTTTCCCCCTGATAGAGGCCCAAACCACCCGGCTACAACTTCCATCAGATCCCACGACCTAACTGCCGTGGTGGCAGTGTGGGTCTCATCTCCCGGTCCCACTCGGCCTATCCCCTTACTCCTCTGGAACTTTCCCTTCCTTCGAGCACCTTACCCTTTATCACCCCTCCAATCTTTCCCTTAAAATTCTCCTTATCCACCACCCCATCCAAGACCTCCCCCACTTTCATCTCTGACATTTCCACCCGCCTATCTCCCTCTGCTCTGAATGCCTCCTCATCCTTGGCGATTTCAACCTTCATTTCACCCCCTCCTGCTTGACCTCTGCTGACTTTTCCTCCCTTATCTCCTCCCTCAATTTCTCCCTCCACATCCACTCCGCCACACACGTCTGCAGTCACATCTGCAGTGATTACTTGGGGCCTCACGGTCTCTGTCCTCACCATCATCGACAACGCGATCTCGGACCATCACTTAATCTCTCTTAATTTCTCAATCCCTCTCCCCACCACCATCCAACCCACCTCCATCTCATACCACCCATGGAAAAAAATCCCCGCCTCCCGGCTGGCTTGAAGTCATCTGAACCCCTTCTCCTCTAGGTGTCCTCATGCAATGACCTATCCTCCTTGGTCACTCTTCTCCACAGCTCCCTCTCCTCCATTCTCGATTCCTCCCTCCCCTCTCTTCCCGAACCGTCTCCTATTTACGTACATCACCTTGGTACACCACTCACCTCCGCTCCCTTAAAGCCCAGGTGTGTTCCTCTGAGTGCACCTGGCTTAAATCAAACCTAACTGTCCATCTGGCTGGACTATGTCAAATCCTACTGCTCCGCTCTCGCCTCCACTAAATCGTCGTTCTATTCCAATACAATCTTGGAGGCTAAGGCCAACCCCAGGCTCCTCTTCTCCATCACAAACTGGCTCCTCCACCTTCCCTCTCATGCCTCGCCCATCCTCACCTCAAATGCCAACTGCGAGGCAATGCTGGACTTCCTCAAATCCAAAGTCGAGGGAATCGCTCAGCTGCCTCTGCCACTGCATCTGCTACCCCCTCCCCATCTCCTCCTCCCACCCCAGCCCCTACCCATCCCTCTCTCCACACATAACATAACATGTAGGAGCAGGAGTAGGCAATTCGGCCCATCGAGCCTGCCTCACCATTCAATCATGGCTGATCCTCTAATCTAACTCCAGCTAATAACCTAACCCTGCCTTATCCCCATATCCATTAATCCCTTTTCCAATAAGAAATCTATCTATCTCAGTCTTGAATATGTTCAAGGACTGAGCGTCAACAGCCCTTTGGGGTCGTTCTATTCGACCCTGAGCTGTCCTTTCTCCCTCACATCCGCGCCACAACTGGCACCGCCTTCCATCACCTCCGGAACATCGCCAGACTACGGCACTACCTCACCCCTCACGCTGCTGAAACTCTGGTCCACGCCTTTATCACCTCAAGGCTGGACTATGGGAACTCTCTCCTCGCCGGCCTTCCCGCCACCTCCCTCCACAAGCTGCAGGTCATTCAGAACTCTGCAGCTCGTGTACTGTCCCGCACCAGGCTTCGGGACCACATCACTCCCACGCTCGCTCGCCTCCACTGGCTCCCCATCCCCCAGAGGATCGAATTCAAGATCCTCATCCTCACCTACAAGGCCATTCACGGCCTTGCTCCCTCCTACCTCTCTGCTCCACATCCCCCGCCCCAACCGCCCTACCATCGGTGGCCAGACCTTCAGCCTCTCAGCCCCTAGGCTCTGGAACTCTATGCCCCAGTGCCTTCGCCGCCTCCTCCCTTTCCTCCTTCAAGGCCAGTCTCAAGACCTTTCTCTTTGACCGAGCCTTCAGCTCCCCTCTCGGCTCTCTAACCCTTCCTCGCTCCCTCCCTTCCCTCCCCTCACCCTGACCATTTCCCCCTTGCTCGGGTCCTGACCCAACTGTACAGCGCCTTGGGACATCCTCCCGACGTGAAAGGCGCTCTATAAATGGAATCTTGTTGTTGTTGTGAGTTCCATACATTCACCCCTTTGAGTGAAGAAGTTCTTCCTCAACTCAGTGCGAAAGGGCTGGCCTCCGATTTTAAGGTTGTGACCCCTGCTTTTAGTTTCTCCAACCAGGGGAAACAATCTCCCACTATCTACTCTATCATGCCTTTTGATGATCTTATAGGTTTCTATAAGATCCCCTCTAATTCTTCTATATTCTACAGAATATAGGCCCAAATTGGTCAGCCTATCCTCGTAACTCATCCCCTTCATCCCTGGTACTAACCTAGTAAATCTACGCTGCACCCCCTCCAAGGCAAGTACATCCTTCCTTAAATAAGGAGACCAAAACTGCACACAGTATTCCAGGTGTGGTCTCACCAGGGCCCTATACAGTTGCAGAAAGACTTCCCTACTCTTATACTCTAATCCTTTCATAATGAATGCTAACATACCGTTCACCTTCCTAATTGTTTGCTGCACCTGCAGACTAACTTTCTGTGATTGGTGTACAAGGACACCCAAGTCCCTCTGGACACTAACACATTCCAATCTCTCCCCTTCTAACACATAACCCGCTCTACTGTTTTTGCTACCTAGGTGGATGACTTCGCACTTCCCTACATTATACTTCAGCTCCCACCTACCTGCCCAATCATCTACCCTATCACCTGTCTCCCCCTCCTCACTCATCACCACCATAACTCGTATACCACCTGCTCCCTCGAACCCACCCCTCTCCTTACCTCCCAGCTCCACCTCCTTGCCCCTCTACTCACTGACATCGTCAACCTCTTCCTGTCCTCTGGTATTGTTCCCATCCCATTAAAAACTGCTGTCATCACTCCTATCCTTAAAAATCCCTCCCTGGACCCTTCTCTACTCCCTAACGACCGCCCCATCTCCAACCTCCCCTTCCTCTCCAAGGTCCTGGAATGAGTTGCTGCTTCTCAGCTTCACTACTTTATTTCCCACCACTCCCTTCTCGAACCTCTCCAATCGGGCTTCCATGCCGCCCACAGCACAGAAAGCGCACTGGTCAAAGTGACAAATGACATTCTGTCCATCTGCGACCAGGGCTCCCTCTGCCTCCTCGTCCTCCTTGACGTCTCTGCTGCTTTCGACATCGCTGACCATTCTATCCTCATCCACCACCTCTCACCTCAACCTCCACAGCGCTGTCCTTGGTTGGTTCAGATTGTACCTCTCACACTGCCTGCACTTCATCTCCTCAAACAGCTTCTCCGGTAGCCCTTGAACAGTCTCGTGAAGTGTTGCTCAGGGCTCTGTCCTTGGTCCCCTCCTCTTCAATATCTATGTGCTCCCTCTTGGTGATATCATCCGCAGACATGGGCTCAACTTCCACATGTATGCGGATGGCACCCAACTGTACCTCTCTGCCTCCACCCTTGACTCCAGGATCACTGCTGTCCTGACCGAATGTCTATCAGACATCAAGTCCTGGATGAGAGCTAACTTTCTTCAGTTGAACGTCAACAAGACCGAGGCTCTCCTGATTGGCTCCTGTTAGCACCTCCTCACCTCAGGTTGCACACCATCACCATCCATGGTTGTACGCTCCACCTTGCTAGTCAGTCCGGAACCTTGGCATCTTGTTTGACCCTTTCTACCCCACATCTGCGCCATGACCCGCTCTGCCTTCCCCCACCTGCGCAACATTGCCCGGCTCCGCCACGGTCTCACACCACAGGACGCAGAAACCTTCATACATGCTTTCATTACATCGAGGCTCGACTATGCAAACTCACTGCTTGTTGGCCTCCCCAACTCTTCCCTCCACAGGCTGCAGATCATCCAGAACTCTGCAGCCCGTGTCCTCTCCTGCACCAGACTCCGCGACCCTATCACCCCCATCCTTGCCCAACTCCACTGGCTTCCCATCACACAGAGGATCCAGTTCAAGATCCTGATCCTCACCTTCAAAGCCCTTCATCGTCTTGCTCCCCCCTACCTCTGCGACCTCCTATACCCCTACCCGTTTATCAGCCAGCGTTTCCTTTCCCTTTCCCATTTGCTATTCAGGAACCCTGCTGGAGGAGCATTGGTATAAGGATAGCATTAGGTTTCGTTGGAATAGTCCCACCTGTATCCTCTGCAGTTGAATAGCCTGCCAACACTCATTGTCATGAATGTTGAGTACCATGGGTGAGGATCCCCACCCCAGTAGAAGGATAAATAAAATCAAACTCTTTCTTGAGAGAAGAAGATAAAATTGCTGAAGAAACTGAAAATGTAATTATTAAATAGAACAGGGTATAATCTAAAAAGCTGAGAATTACCTCATTTTCAGTCATTTTGTAGGCTTCTTTGAAATTGAATATATTGACTGAATTTGGAACAATGGATTGGATTAATCTTTCTCCACGCATTACAATCCTATTTAAAAAATTAAGAATGGTTATAAAATTAGATTTTACCACCACATTGATGACAAAACTCTACAGACATGTTAACAGCTGGTATTCTGCAACAAAGTAGTGACAGAAGAAATCACACACCTTTCTAGAGAGATGCATCTACTAATATGCATCTACTAATATACAAAATGTCTGTCTGTCTGCCAATAATGTAATAACTGATTGACGTAGACATTTCTATCTCATCAGAAAGGTCTTGCATGGGGGAGTGTCACGGGCATTTTTTTGGTGGGGGGGCATTTCCTATTGTTATAACAGTACAATAATCAAATATAAAGTATAATAATCAAATATAAGGATATAAAGTAACACATATAAAGTATAATAACATAATATAAAGTATAATAATATTGAAATCTACATTCCATATTGGATCCTTTGGTTGCAAACATAGCTGCAACGGGTACAGCTAGTAAGCAATAAGATAAATTCCACCAGAATGTGAGTGAAAAGCTTTTAAACTTGTTTAAAATAAAGAGGTACTAACCCCACTGCACTATATGCTCTGTCCCAGTACTGGTTCTTTTGCTGCCTTCTGTTTTCCAGGTACATCTGCCTTCTCACCTGTCATATGCACAGTTTGTTCTTTCTTTCACTGTCGTGTCATTGTTGTCTCCAATGAGCCAGTTAAAATTGGAGTCATTTCGCAGACGGATGTTTGCCCAATGCTTCTTTCGAACATAGTCACATCCTGCATTGAAGTCTCCCATAATTATGAAGTTCTGTTGGAGACAAAAAGGGGTGTTATTAGAAAGCCAAAACACCAGAAAGCAGCCACCCTTTTTGAGTTTGTTCTTCCGGTGACATACACCTTTTATGTTTTTTGGGTTGAAAAAGTAAACAGAACAATACTTTAGGATGCACCAAGCAGTGGCATAGTGACAGTACATGGGGTATCTCCAAAGATGCTATCAACAGGAGTGTTGTAGGAGTGATGCACCCTGTGATTGTCTTTGAAGATGGTGTCTTACTGCTTGTTGATTAACCTACAGCAAGGACACTTAATTGATAAGGAAATCTCTTACTAAAATAATAATACCCGTTGAGTTCTCACATCTCGTGATACTCATGATTCCTTTTGATACTTTTTTTTTGTATCAGGAGTGTTGTGGTTTAACAATAACAATAACAATTAGTTTTAACAAATCACATGATAATTCCCTTTGTTTTAACTCATAAATTACCTTTATCCCTTCTGAATATCAAATCAGTGCCATTACATCATTGAGTGATTGCTAGTGAAAGCATGTGTTCACTTGTTAGCCTGAAAATGCAAACTTTATCTGAATAAGTGTCATTTCAGCAGGTGGTGTTGAATAGCAGATTTAAAATGAGAATCTGTGAAATCATGCTCATCATGCTCAATGTCAGTGTCTTTTGTCAACAATCTCACTTAGTAAGATCTGGGTGAAAATTAATTTTGGTGCCATTATAAGGTTAGTATTTGAAAATATACAAAGTTCAATGAAGAAAGGGTTTAATTGCACTTATTTGTTTATTGCATTTGACTTCTGCAATGTAGATCAGTGCTTTAAAGTACCAGTCTACTCTGTGACAGAGTGGTATGACTTGGGCCCACACCTAGTATTGCTTTCATAATTTTCTGATAACAAGGCAAGCACCTCATGGAATCAAGATACTTCTCCATAGAAGTACTGGTGATGGGAAGTTGGAGGGCATGTTAATTTCGTTTATTAATGGCCTTTAGATAGTTTATCATTTGGATCAGGACAGGTTGATAGAGCTGTTAAAAAAAGCAAATGCGATTGTTGGATTTATAAATAGAGGCATAGAGTACAAAGGCAAGGAAGTTCTGTTAAAACTTTTATAAGTCACTGGTTAGGCCTCAGCTGGAGTATTGTGTCCAATTCTGGGCACCAAACTTTGAGGAAGATATCAAGGCCTTGGAGCCTTGGAGGGTTGCAAATGTTACTCCCCTGTACAAAAAGGAGCAGAGGATAAACCCGAGAACTACAGCCCAGTCAGCCTAATGTCAGCAGTGGGGAAACTTCTAGAGACTGTAATACATTTTCACAAAATTAATTTTCACTTAGTAAAATATGGATTAATAAAGGACAGCCAAAATGGGTTTCTTAAAGGCAAATCGTGTCTAACAAACATAATAGTTTTTTGATGAAGTAACGGAAAGGGTGGATGAAGGTAGTGCAGTTGATGTAGTGCAGGCGGGTGGGTTAGTAACCCAAGGGCACCGATTTAAAAGTTGTTAAAAGAAACAGTGGGGAGGTGAGGAGAAATTTTTTCACACCGTGCGTTTTTCGGATCTGGAATGCATTGCCTGAAAGGGTGGTGCTGAAGGCTGGAAGCCGATTCGATAACAACTTTTAAGAGAGAAGTAGATAATTATTTTGGGAGGACAAGTTTGCAGAGTGCAGTTGATGTAGTTTATATGGATTTTCAAATGGCGTTTGATAAAGTGCCACATAAGAGACTTGTAAGCAAAATAGAAGCCCACGGTATTAAAGAGACAGTGGCAACGGATACAGAACTGACTGGGAGACAGAAAGCAGAGAGTGGTAGTGAACAGTTGTTTTTCTGACTGAAGGGAAGTGTGCAGTGGTGTCCCCCAGGGTCAGTATTGGAACCACTACTGCTTTTGATCAACATAAATGACCTGGGCTTGGGTATAGGGAGTACAATTACAAGTTTGCAGATTATACCAAGCTAGGAAAAGTGGTAACCAGTGGGTAGGATAGTAGCAGATTGCAAGAGGGCATAGACAGACTGGTAAAATGGCCAGACACGTGGCAGATGAAGTTTAATGTGGAGAAATGCGAAGTGAGGAAGAATTTTGGGAGGAAGAATGAGGAGAGGCAATATAAGCTGATGGTACAATCTTAAAGGGGGTGAAGGAACAGAGAAACCCGGGGTTCATGTAAGTGGCAGGACAGGCAGATAAAACTGTTAAAAAAGCATATGGGATACTAGGTTTTATAAGTAGGGGCATAGAATACAAAAGTCAGGAAGTTACGATGAACCTTTATAAAACACTGGTTAGGCCTCAGCTAGAGACTGTGTTCTGTTCTGGGCACCACACTTTAGGAAGGATGTCAAGGCATTGGAGAGGGTGCAGAGGAGATTAACCATGATGGTACCAGGAATGAGGGACTTCAGTTATCAGGAGAGGCTGGAGAAGCTGAGATTATTCTCCTTGGAGCAGAGAAGTTTAAGAGGAGAATTATAGAAGTTATCAAAATTATGAGGGGATTTGACAGGGTGAACAAGAGAAGCTATTTCCAATGGCGGGTGGGTTAGTAACCCAAGGGCACCGATTTAAAAGTTGTTAAAAGAAACAGTGGGGAGGTGAGGAGAAATTTTTTCACACCGTGAGTTTTTCGGATCTGGAATGCATTGCCTGAAAGGGTGGTGCTGAAGGCTGGAAGCCGATTCGATAACAACTTTTAAGAGAGAAGTAGATAATTGTTTTGGGAGGACAAGTTTGCAGAGCTATGGGGAGAGAGGGGAGGAGAGGCATTGATTTAGATAGCTCTTTTCAAAGAGCCGACACAGGCACAATGAGCCGAATGGCCTCCTGTACTGTATAATTCTATGATTCCATGAAACAAGATGGAATCTTGGCATCAGTGGGGGGGAGGGGTCCAAGTAAAATAGATACAAAAAGTGAGGGGAAGATACGTGACAGCGCAACATCCATAATAATAATCCTTGCATTTGATATAGCGCTTTTCACATCTTCTCGACATCTCAAAGCGCTTCACAGAATAGACTGTAAATTGAATTGACAGTGTATTTGTGGGCAAAATTCCGGAAGCGGAATTCAAACAAAATATTGAGCAGACAGCTGGAGGCTGACATCTTTTTGGCGGGAAAGAGACAAAAGAGGGAGGGACAAAAGAGCTATAAATTACGTGGATTGGAAGGAATCAAGGTCATTGATTCTTTTGGGGTCACTTCCATCTGCTGACGTGGGGATTAAGGTGCCTGAGTGGAGGCATAACTCCCAGTCAAAATTGGCTTTTTGTAATTAATTATTATTTGGGGAATTGCTGCTAGTCTTGAGCATAGTATTATATTAGTTCTTAGATTGAAATTTTACTGTTGAATATTGCGACAGTTTATGTTATCGTGATTGAGTTAGGCCAGGGGATTGAATAAAAACTACTTCTGAACTTCTCTAAAGTTTGCTCGAGTTCTGTTACAGCAATAACAAGAACAACTTGCATTTATCTAGCGCTCCTCATGCAGGGTAGCATCCCAGAGCACATGGCAATGGCGCAGCACGTCACCAAGCCAGGGGGAAGAGGGAGGTGACCGTAGACACGGTTGAATGGGAGATCTTCAGGTGGGAAGTAAGGAGCAACACGGAGGGATAGAGGAAGAGTGTTCCAGAGTTTCGGGGCATAGTGACTGAATGGAGGGCATGAGGGACATGCAGAAAGCCGGAGCCAGTCGAGTGGAGGCATCGGGTTGTGGGTTGGGGAGTAAGCAGGTCAGAGAGGTAGGGAGGTGCCAGGGCAAGAAGGCATTTGAAAACGAGTGTCAGGATTTTGAAATCAATCCATTCGGCAATAGGGACCCAGTGCAGCTGGCTAGAACTGGTGTGATGGGGGTACGAGGTTTAATGCAGGTGAGAATGCGGGCGGCTGAGTTTTGGATTCTATGCATGGTGAAACTGGGGAGACCGGCAAAGAGGGCATTTGAGAAGTTGGGGGTTGCCGAACCCATGGACGAGTGAGTTATAGGTACTGTTATAGTAAAAGGGAAATATTGTGACAGAGGCCACTTAGCAATAAGTGACGCTAACCGTTATAGTACCAGGGATGAGGGACTTTAGTTATGTGGAGAGATTAGAGGAGCTAGGATTGTTCTCCTTAGAGCAACAACAACAAATTACATTTGTATAGCACTTTTCACGTTGGGAGGATATCCCAAGGCACTGGACAGTCAGGGATTTGGACCCAAGCAGGGGGTTTGGGATCAGGGAGGGTGGATGGCAGGGAGGGTAGAGGTAGGAGGGTGACCAAATGCTTGGTTGAAGAGGAGGGTCTTGAGAACTGCTTTGAAGGAGGCAAGGGAGGGAGCAAGGCGAAGGGGCTGTGGGATTTCCAAAGGGTGGAGGCAGAGAAGCTGAAGGCACAACTGCCGATGATGGGGTGGGCCGGGCGGGGATGTGGAGCAGGCAGGAGCCTGCTGAGAGGAGGGAGCGGACAGGTTGATATGGGGTTAGCAGGTCACAGAAGTAAGAAGGAGCAAGGCCGTGGAGGGCCTTGAAAGACAGGATAATGATTTTGAACTCTCCATGCCAAGGAAAAATTTGCAAGGATATTGGGTAGCTCTTTCAAAGATACGACACAGGTACAATGGGCCAAAAGGCCTCCTTCTGTGCTGTAATATTCCATGATTCTAAGAGCAGTGATGCAGAGGTTGTGATAATAAATTCAATTGAAATTGATGAAATCTAGCTGCTGGTGTTTTGAAGTTTAAAGGCTACAGAAGTTAACTTGATTAAGGATATACTGCTCAAAGTGCAACAATTCAGTTGTAACAGTAACAACAACAAATTGCATTTGACCTTTAACGTCGGAAGGAGGTTCCAAGGAGCTGGACAATTGAGGGTTTGCAGCTGAGTTGAGGGCTGGATTCGATAGGGATGGGGGCCAAGGGGACGGGGGTGAGAGAGAAAGATGACCAAAGGCACAGACAAAGTGGAAGGTCTTGAGATGAATCCTAAAGGAGGTGAAACAAAGGGACTTGTAACAATCTCATTAGAAAAAAAGGGTTGAAGTACCTTTGCTCTCCAGCGACATTTCATTGCCATGTAAACATCGTACAGCTTGTCAATTTCACGTACTGACGATTCGGGGCTCGTGTGTTGAGGGATTATGACAAAGTCACGTGGATCTTAAAGAATACAAAGAAAAATATTACTGTAATAATTGCCTTTATGCTGTGAATATATTCTCACTTTGCCAAGAAGGCTGAGGTCAGGACACTGCAGTCCAATTTAAAAAACGGCTTGGTGCTGTGATAGGAGGGCAGTAGGATGGATGTTCTGGACAGATTAAATCGAATGGGCAGTTGCTTTCTGGAGCCCTTTTAAACCGTTCAGCCCATTTCGATCAATAATCCTCATCTGTCTCCAATCAGATTTCTTTATTGTTTCATTTCTGTAGCAATTGTACTGCACCTGTCTCAGGTATCTGAGCTCAACTTCTCCTTTTAACATTTTCCTTCTTTCGTTTTTCTCTTTTCTCTTACTTGACGACTGATACTGGGTAGGACTGTTGCAAGTCGCTGTGAGATTTTTGCAGGCATTTGAAGCTGGGCAAGCTGTAGATTGTGTTTGATAAATTGCGAGGAGCGCAGGTCTGAGGCTGGGAGTAGAGAACTGACTGGGTTATGTTGCTTTACCTGTTGGTTTCTGTAATCAACTCCTTTTTCATTAAAGATTTACCTCAACAACAACTTGCACCCCTCCACGCAGGGTAGCATCTCAGAGCGCTTAACAGTGGCAGAGCCTGACTCCGAGCCGGGGTAAGGGGGAGGTGGCCATAAGCACGATCGGACAGGAAAGTTTTCAGGCAGGATTTGAAAGAGGGGAGAGAGGGGGCAAGGCGGAGGGATTGAGGGAGATTGTTCCAGAGTTTGATGTGTAGTGGCTGAAAGCAATACCTCCAATTGTGGGGCAGAGCGTGTGAGTGTAAAATGAACAAGATGAGCTTACTTGTACGAATAGATGAAAACCAAACGACAAACGGCTCTCTTGCAAAAGCATCTTCATCTCCTTCCTGATTATCAGGATATTGGTAGCTTTTCTTCACAGACAATAGGTTATTTCTGAAATCCACATGGAAACAAAGAAATATTTTTTCTAAATAAAGGTAATTTATGTGGTAGACATTACATTATACACAGACCCATGCCACCCTCAGGGCTGCCCTTTGGGTAATGTACTGAATAGATTGCAATTATTTTGAATAAGGCTTAGAACCTTCACAGGAATCTAAAGTGTAGTGACTGTGTATTTTGTAAGCAAATGCGGCAGCATTTGTCTGCAGCAATATCTTACAAATGGGCTTGAAATGAAGATCCAATTTTATTTGGAGGACTGTTGGTCAGGATACCGGGAGAAACTCCCTTCTCTATTCAAAATGCAATAACTTATTCATTAAGTTGCTCAAATGCTACAATGGTGATGGGGTGGGGCATGATTCGCAAGTATATCTTTAAAGAGCACGGTTCTGCTGAGCAAAAAACAGGAAGTTTACAAAAAGAACCTTGTGACATTTACAGTATATTTAGATAACAGCCTTTAGAAAACAACAGTAAAAAATGTTAGCTCAGTGTTTACTCTGCAGATGAGCTAAAATGCCACCATCTATTGAACCACTCTGGTGCTTAGAAATTGGAAACTGGTTATTGTTTTTAATTATTAATCTGCAGTGAGAACCATATTTAAATTTGAATGCGCAAATATTGCTGAAGTACCTGTAAATAAAAGCATATTGTTCCTTGTAGGTCTTTCTTCCTAGACGCCCACTGATGATGTAACTGAATGAATTTCTGTAGTTTAATGGTGATCTAAAATGGAGACATTTAGTTATTCAGTATTTTATTGGAAAATGTATTTATTTTATCATTGCATAGGAAATCTACAGCCAAATGGGGAAGAAGTTAATAATAATAATAATAATAATAATAATAATCCTTGCATTTGATATAGCGCTTTTCACGTCGGGAGGACGTCCCAAAGCGCTTCACAGAACACACTGTAAAGTGAATTGACTGTATATTTGTGGGCGAACGCGGCAGCCAATTGCGCACAGCAATGTCCCACAAACAGTTGTAGATTGAAAATAACCAATTTATTATTGTTTTTGGTTTTGGAGGGATTATTATTAGGTGTGTGGAGTAAGGAAACTTGCCCAAGGTTTCGCCCTGACTGGAATTGAACTCAGGTTTCTCGCTTGCAAAGCGAGTGCTCTAACCACTGAGCTACAGGACTCCACAAGTTGCCCCATTCTCTAGACTTAGTCTATTTTCTTAGCATTACAGAGTGTCCAGAATTTGGTGAATTGTTAAATTGAATCTTAACTTTGACGCCGGAAGTAGTTTCTTCAAAGAAATTATTTAAGAATTTGACAAATTCTGCACAATTTGAAATACTAAGAAAATAGAATAAATCTAGGTAGAATTTCTATCCCTAAATATTAAAGAAATCCTGATTAATTATTAATCCCTCACAATAAATGTTATACATGCCTTTTGAAGTTCGGACTATACATTTTTATAGTTAAGTTCATGTCGTTCTATCTTGCACTCATAGTGATCCTAGCATGGATAATTGGTATTAAATTCTAGTGACATTCCTGTTTTGGTCAGTCATTATGTTTCAGTGAGGGCAAATATTTGAGACACTGACACTGTCAGTTCCATTCCATCAGGGATTCGGATCCAGAATCACTTAAACAAGCTTTTACTGTTCATTTGATGTATTCAATTGATATACCGCTGTGCTGCGTAAATGGGGAGATTAATGAAACACCAATTAACTGCCACAATGTTTTTAATGCCTTGGGTTTTTGTTAACTGTGTGATTTTATTAAAACAGCTCGAGATGCTGAGATATCTGTGTTAACTGAAATGCATTTTATTTTTGGAAGACACTTCTTCCTTTTGAGTGAATCTAAGGAAAAACTTGTCACTTGAACCAAACTCCGAAGTGGGAGGGCACTGCAGGTAAAATGTGCTATTCAGAGGTCTAGGAACGTGCACTCTTACCGATTCAGGCTCCCCATAAGCACAGGAAAGGACCTGTTGCTGGAATCCTTGATTTCCATAATTAGCATCAGATCACAGCGGGAGATAATCTGATGAGAAAGTAATAGCTGATATTATGTGACCATTGTTTGGCACAGCTATAAATAATTCATAGAATTATACAGCACACTAGGAAGCCATTCGGCTCTTTGTGTTCGTGCCGGAGCTGTCCAAATTAGTCCCACTCCCCCCCACTCTCCCCCACAGCCCTGCAAATTTGCCCTCCCCAAATATCTATCTGCTTCTCTCGTGAAAGTTGTTATCGAATCGGCTTCCAGCAACTTTTTAGGCAGTAATAGCTGATATGTCTAATGCATTAGACATATCAGGTAATGCATTCCAGATCCGAACAACTCGCTGTGTGAAAAATATTCTCCTCACCTCCCGCTTAGTTCTTTTGGCAACTAGTTTAAATCTGTGGTCCAGGTCTCTCTGTTCCTTCACCCCCTTTCAGCTTATATTGCCTCTCCTCATTCTTCCTCCCAAAATGCATCACTTCGCATTTCTCGGCATTAAATTTCATCTGCCATGTGTCTGCCCATTTCACCAGTCTGCCTATATAGGTCAAAATCAGCAGTGGTCCCAATACTGACCCCTGGGGAAACCACTGTATACTTTCCTCCAGTCTGAGAAACAACCATTCATAACCATCCTCTGCTTTCTGTCCCCCAGCCAGTTTTGTATCCATGCTGCCACTATCCCTTTAATTCCATGGGCTTCAATTTTTCTAACCAGTCTGTTATGTGGCACTTTATCAAACGCCTTTTTGAAAATCCATATATACTACATCAACAACAACAACAAAATTACATTTATATAGCACCTTTCACGTCACCTAAGGCTGCACTATCTTCATTCATCCTCTCCATTACATCATCAAAAAATTTATCAGGTTTGTTAGACATAATTTGCCTTCAACAAATCTGTGTTGGCTGTCCTTTATTAAACCATATGAGAAAATTTATTTGGACCCAGATTATCATCTCTAGAAGTTTCCCCACTACTGTAGTTCCCAGGTTTGAAAGGCGCTATACGAATGTAATTTTGTTGTTGTTGTTGTTATCCTTCTCTTTGTACAGGGGAGTAACATTTGCAACTCTCCAGTCCTCTGGCACCACTCCGGTGCCGAAGGAGGATTGAAAGATGGTGACCAGAGCCTCCGTTATTTCCACCTTCCCTTCCTTCTGGAACCAGGTGATTTATCTACCTTGAGCACTGTCAACCTTTTTAGTACCCCTCTCAGTTTATTCTTATCTTATCTAATTTCTCTACCTTCTCCTCTGATACTGTGGCATTGGCTGCATCCTCTTCTTTTGTGAAGACAGATGCAAAGTACTCATTCAGTACGTCAGGCATGCCCTCTGCCTCCACAAGAAGATTTCCTCTTTGGTCCCTAATCTACCCCACCCTACCTTTGACTAACCTGTTATTCTTTATATGCTTATAAAATACTTTATGGTTCACTTTTATGTTACCCCCTAATCTTTTTTTCATACAATCTCTTTGCTCCTCTTACTTCCTTTTTCAGTTCTCCTCTGTACTTTCTATATTCTGTTTGATTATCTTCTGTATTTTGGACCTAACATTTATCATAAGCCTCCTTTTTCTGTTTTATTTTAATCCTAATTTCCTAAGTCAACTAGGGAGCTTTGAATGTCCTATCTTTCCTCTTTATGGGAATGTATTTGTTTTGTCCCCGAACTATCTCCTCCTTGAAGGCTCATTGCTCGTTAGCCATTTTACCTACCAATCTTTCTTTCCAGTCAAGTCCACCTTGGCTGGATCCCTTTTCAATTCACTGAAATTAGCCCTCTTCCAGTTGAGTATCTTCACCTTTGATTGCTCCTTATCTCTTTCCATAAGTACACTAAACCTAATGATGCTGTCGTCACTGTCATCCAGATGCTACCCCACTGAACCCTGTTCCACTTGCCCCACTGCATTCCACAGAACAAGATCCAACACTGCTTCCTTCCTCATTGGGCTGGAAACGTACTGGTCAAGAAAGTTTTCCTGCACACATTCCAGGAATTCTTCCCCTTCCGTGCTCTTTACACTGTTTTTTGTCAGTCTCTGTTAAGATAATTGACGTCCCCATTATCTCTATTGGTTTTACTTCTTTCTGAAATTTGCTTGCAGATTTGCTCCTATACCTCCTTCCCATTATTTGGTTGTCTGTAGAATACACTTAACAGAGTAACAGCTCCATTCCTGCTCCTTAACTAACCAAATAGATTCTGTTTTTGCACATCTTCCCTTTTCAGGCCTGTAACCTTGTTGTTGATCAATATTGCCAAGCCCACCCCTTTTTTTTCCTTCCCTATCCCTCCTGAATACATTGTATCCAGGAATATTGAGCTCCCATTCCTACCCTTGTTTCAGCCACATCTCCATTATTACAACCAAATCATAACCCCATGTGTCAACGTGAGCCTGCAGCTCACCAATCTCATACTCCATGCATTTACACACATTTACTTATTCTGCTCTGCATTTCCCCCTATCTAATCCCTCCTTTTTTCTTTTTATTGCATTGTTGTTCATCTCTCCCATTCCTCTATGTAACTTGTTTCTCCTTCTCTGATGCTACATCCTGGTTCCCTGCCCCCCTTGAAATTAGTTTAAACCCTTCCCCACAGCACTAGCTAACCTCCCTGTGAGGACATTGGTCCGAGCCCTGTTCAGGTGTAACCCATTCATCTTGTACGGATCCCACCCGCCCCAGAACTGGTCCAATGTTCCAGGAACCTGAACAGGAACCTCCTTTCTGCACCATTTCTCCAGCCATGCATTCATGTGTTTTATCCTGCTGTTCTTATACTCACTTACACACGGCACTGGGAGTAATCCAGAGATTATCACCTTTGAAGTCCCACTCTTTAGTTTTCTCCCTAGCTTCTGAAACTCTCTCTGTAAGATCTCAGCCCTTTTGTTCCCTATGTCATGGTTTCCAACATGGACCACAACTTATGGAAGTTCCCATTCCCCCTGTAGAATGTTTTGCACCTGTTCCATGAAGTTTTCAACAACAACAACTCGCACTTATAGCGCCCTCCATGCCAGGTGGCGTCTCAGAGCCCTTAACAATGGTGGAGCCCAAGGCTGAGCCAGGGGGAGGGGGAAGATGACTGTAGGCGTGGTCAAAAAGGAAGGTCTTCAGGCGTGACCTTAAGATGCGGAAGGATGGGGCGAGGTGAAGGGATTGAGGGAGAGAGTTCCAAAGTTTCGGGGCATCGTGGCTGAAGGCATGTCCACCGATGCTGGAGCGGAGGATTCAGGGGACGCGGAGGAGGCCAGATCCAGTAGAGCAGAGGCAGTAGGTACTGCTGTGGGGAGAGAGGAGGTTAGAGAGATAGGGGGGTTGCCGAGGAATGGAGGGATTTAAACACTAGAGTGAGGATCTTGAAGTTGATCCGTTCTGTGACAGGGAGCCAGTGGAATTTGGTAAGGACTGGAGTAATCAAAGTACAAAGTTTGGTTCGGGTGAGAATGCTGGCTGCGGAGCTTTGAATGAGCTGGATTTTGTGAATAGTGGAGGAGGGGAGACCGGCAAGGAGGGCATTAGAGTAGTCCAGCCGAGAGGTGACAAAGGCATGGACAAGGCTTTCAGCAGATTTTGGGGTGAGGTATTGTCGGAGACGGGCAATGTGGAGGAGGTGGAAGGAAGTAGTGCTGGTCAGGAACCAGATGTGGGGGAGGAAGGATAACTGGGGATCGAATCTGACATCTAAGTTACGCACGGGTTCAGAGAGTTTTAAGGACAGGTCGGATAGATTGAGGAGGTCGGAACCGTGGGACAGAAGACGTCGGTGGGAGCCAAAGTGTATGGCTTCTGTCTTGTTAATGTTTAACTGCAGGAAATTTGAGCTCAACCAGCTCCTGATGTCCAACAGACAAGCTGACAGAATATCAGGGGACTGGGGGTCGCAGCTGGAGGTGGAAAAGTAGAGTTGAGTGTCATCCGCAAACAGTGAGTGGGGTGAGGAGGAGGTCGAGGCAGCAGCTGGTGGGTTTCATTGTGGTGATGGGATTTTATAGAGCGGAGATGGCTGTTGTACTAGGGGGAATGGGTGGGTTTGGAGATGGTCCTGGATTTCAGGGGGGCGAGGGAGTTGAAGTCGGAGGAGAGGCAATCATGGAGCAGCTTGACAGCTGCTTCAGGGTCGCTGCGGGTGGAAGGCCAGCGGAATAGGAGGTCTGAGGATGAAAGGCCCTCTGTGAGGGTCTCAGGGGGAAGCCTTTTCCATGGGCGGAAATTTATGGTTGAGGTCTTGATGGAGGGGAGAGGGATGCGAGAGGAGAAGGAGATGAGGAAGTGGTCCGAGATGGCCTTGTTCGTGATGCACAAGTTGGAAATGTTGAGGCCATGTGTAATGACGAGGTCAAGGGGGTGGCCACTGTTGTGGGCTGGAGAGTTAATGTGGAGGGTTAGGTTCAGGGAGGAGAAGAGGTCAATGAATTCTGAGAATGTGGTGCAAGGGGAGTTATTCAGTACAGAGAACCGGTTTGTGAGTGCCACACTCTCGGAGGATTTCTGCTCTGCTTGTGTCCTCTTCCTATCATGTCGGGAAGTCACCCACTCACTCTCTTTCTGAACCCTCTGTGAGTCTGGGGTGCCCACCTCCTGAAATGTTCGATCCATGAACTCTTCAGCCTCCCATATGCTATGTAGTGACACCAGCCTCTCCTTGAGCTCAGAAACCCTAAGCATCTGGAGTTCCCACATGGCACACAATGTGCATGCAATCGGTTTTAGCAGCCCTGCCATATTCCCAGACATTTTTAACATTAATTATTTAATAATTATGCACCTTCGTTCCCCTCTGCACTTACTTCCCGCTCTCACCAAATTCCTGCACAGAATTCCTACTCTGTTCCACTTCACTCAGTTACTTCCTCATGCTGCTGGGCTCTTTGCTTGAGTTATATATTAGAATACATTAAAATATACAGCACAGAAACAGGCCATTTGGCCTAACTGGTCTATGCCGGTGTTTATGCTCCACATGAGCCTCTTCCTGCCCTTCCTCAACTAAGCCTTCAAGCATAACCTTCTATTCCTTTCTCCCTCATGTATCTATCGAGCTTTCCCTTCAATACATCTATGCTATTTGCTTCAACAACAACTTGTGGTAACATGTTCCACATTCCCACTACTCTCTGTGTGAAGAAATTTCTTCTAACTTCCCTATTTGATCTATTTGTGACTATTTATATTGATGGCCCCTGGTTTGGGTCTCCCACACGTGGAAACATCTTCCCTATGTCTACCCTATCAAAACCTTCCTTAATTTTAAAGACCTCTATCAAGTCACCACTTACCCTCTTTTCAAGAGAAAAGAGTCCAAGTATGTTCAGCCTTTCCTGATAGGTATAACCTCTCAGTTCTGGGATCATCCTTGTGAATCTACTTTGCACCCTCTCCAGTGCCTCTACATCCCTTCTATAATGTGGGGACCAGAACTGCACACAGTATTCTAAGTGTGGCCTGAGTTGCACAAGGGAACTGGAAATAAAGAGTTTCACTGGTACGACACCCTCTTGGCAGATAGAAAGCCACCAATTATGCATTGTGGATCCACCAAGGTTAATTGGAAACCCTCGGATGTGGTGGCAAGAGACAACAAACATTGGTTCTGGCTTTTACAATCGAAACATGTGACACACATTCTGCAGATGTTCCTGACTGTAACGCAGAACTACGGTGGCAGATAAGGTTAGCCAAGATCAGCGACATCCTGACAGACATCCTGCTTGTGAGGAGCGATGGATTAAAAACATTCACCAGATCTGCCCGCAACAGAATCACTTGCCAATCAAGGGCTCCTCACGGAGCTGGGGAACTTGCCAAGAACAAGAACAATGATGTGAGCATGAGAAAGCAGCTGTGACTAACTATCCTCAAAGGACTACATTACAAGAGGAAGCAGACAGGAACTTCAGCAGAGATTTACAGTCTCAGGATGTTTACTTTCAGAAACGTTGAAGCAGCAGAAGGATGCAGATTCAAGTCTTTGAAGGATTACAAAGGCCAATTTGAGGACAGACAACAGGAAGGACATTAAATGGGTGGAGCAGACTTTTTACACTGAATCTCCCATGTAATCCATTGCTTAGATAGATTTGCTTATTCCCCTTTGTCACTGGGCAGACTCCACACACTTTCTTTTCTTTTCATCTGGAGTTTCTTATTTAACAATGAAAAGTTTGTAAGGTGTATGTTTTTTTTACTACAGTACTAGACTTTAATATGTAATCTGACACACAACCATATCATTTGACAAAGAGAATGATTTGTATAAGGCTGTTGTTGACCATCTTCAATCTTTCAGCTTTTAATATTTTAGTCAAAAAGGCTTTCACAAATAGGTTGTTCAGGAAAATCCTAGTGTTCTCACTAGTCTTCACTGAGTGTTCAGGTGGTTCTTCCAGAATACAACCCCAGCTGTGCTTTGTTCAAGTTAGGTTCACTGTCATTTCTCTGCTGGATTAAGTCTTCTCAAGACTTCACAAGATATGTTTGTTGAAGAAAGTTCTTTGGCTTTCCAGAAATTTTTACTTAGAAAAATGTGGGTTAGTAAAGGGCAGCCAACACAGATTTGTTAAAGGCGAATCATGTCTAACAAACCTGATAATAGTTTTTTGTTGAAGTAACGGAGAGAATGGATGAAAATAGTGCAGTTGATGAAGTTTATATGGATTTTCAAAAGGTGTTTGACAAAGTGCCACATAAGAGACTTGTAAGCAAAATAGAAGCCCACGGTATTAAAGGGACAGTGGCAGCGGATACAGAACTGTCTGGGAGACAGAAAGCAGAGAGTGGTGGTGAACGGTTGTTTTTCTGACTGGAGGGAAGTGTGCAGTGGTGTCACCCAGGGTCAGTGTTGGGACCACTGCTATTTTTAATCTATATAACTGACCTGGACTTGAGTATAGGGAGTGCAATTTCCAAATTTGCAGATGATACTAAGATAGGAAAAGTAGTAAACACTGAGGGGAATAGTAACAGACTGCAAGGGGACAGACTGGTATAATGGGCAGACAGGTGGCAGATGATGTTCAATGTGGAGAAATGTGAAATGGTGCATTTTGGGAGGAAGAATGAGGAGAGACAGTATAAGCTGATGGTACAATCTTAAAGGGGTGAAGGAACAGAGAGACCTGGGGGTCATATAAGTAAATCTTTGAAGGGGGCAGGACTGGTAGATAAAGCTGTTAAAAAAGCATATGGGATATTAGGCTTTATAAATAGGGGCATAGAATACAAAAGTCAGGAAGTTATGATGAACCTTTATAAAACACTGGTTAGGTCTCAGCGAGAGATTGTGTTCAGTTCTGAGCCCCACACTTTAGGAAGATGTCAAGGCATTGGAGAGGGAGCAAAGGAGATTTACCAGGATGGTACTTCAGACCCAGGAGGGACTTCAGTTATCAGGAGAGCCTAGAGAGCTAGGATTATTCTCCTTGGAGCAGAGAAGGAGAGGAGACTTAATGGAACTTTTCAAAATTATGAGCGGATTCGATAGGTTGAACAAGAGAAACTATTTCTAATGGCGGGTGGGTCGGTAACCCGAGGGCAGCGATTTAAAATTTAAAGTTGTTAAAAGGAACAGGGGATGTGAAGAGAATTTTTTTCACACAGTGAGTTGTTTGAATCTGGAATGCATTGCCTGAAAGCGTGGTGGAAGCCGATTTGATAACAACTCTTAAGAGAGAAGTAGATAATTATTTTGGGAGGACGAGATGCAGGGCTATGGGGAGAGCGCGCGCGAATGGGATTGATTTAGGTAGCTCTTTTCAAAGAGCTAGCACAAGCACAATGGGCCGAATGGCCTCCTTCTATGCTGTATAATTCTATGATTCTATGGTTCCTAGCTACATGGAGTATATTTCAATAGAAATTTTACAAAAATGCTAAGAATCTAGAAGTGTGTGCTCTTGCACAAAACATTGATTCAGTGATTGAGAAATTATTTTTGGATGGTACATCTATTGTATTTTGGTGTGTAATCTTTAAGATTTGAGTTGTCGATTAATGTTGAACTTTTTTTCCAATAAAGGAAACTGAAAAAACAATTAGTCTGATGAAGAAATGAATTGTTTTTCTTTACTGAGTGAAAGTGTTTATATCACAAAGCAATATGGGTGCAAGCGAGTCCTAAAGGTTACATTATACAAAGTGAAACAGATGTATTAAAAATAAATCTCTTGTGATGTTGTGATTTTTTTTATTGCAAATTCCTGAGAATTTATTTAGGATTTCATGCATTTCCTCTTTTTCGCCCACTGCCAAGGGGAAGCTTTTCAGGCATCGAACCTGAAAGTAAATATAGCTGTGGAAACCGCCACAGGTCAGCAAGGCATTCTGTTGGGCATTTCTTCAACCCAAACACTGCAACACACAACTGTTTGTGTAACAAAATTCACTATATTTTCTCCTTTCACAGAAGACCTTGAAATTACAAACGTTCTGGATTAAGACTGTCATTAGGAATGGAAGTACAGTCCAAAGATAATACGATAGGATGTAGATGATTCTCACCCTGTATCTTTTGTCGGGCGAAAATCCCAGGGAGCGTTAAATGGAACGCCTTTGTGTAATCGTGGAACCATCACCAAAGGGTGGAATTATAATGGAAAATCAACAGTGACCAACATTTTCCAAGGAAAGAAATTTTGCGCAGGACTCAGGTATACAGAGCAGACTTATGTTCCAGCTCAAGGAGTTCAGTAAAATTGTTTGCAAACATTAAAATAATACTTCCATTTGATACAGCACCTTATCACATCGACATAATTAAAAAATATTATTGTGAAGTATTAATTATGTTACCATGTATATCAGCTGCACTAACAAATCTCACAAGTGGTGATAAAATGACTGACAAACTACAACAAAATTACATTTGTACAATGCCTTTCACGTCGGGAGGACATCCCAAGTTCAGGCAATCAGGGGTTCAGACCCGCGCTGAGGGTTGGTATCGGGGAGGTTGGAGGACAGTGGGGGAAGGAGGGTGACCGAAGGCATGGTTGAAGAGGAGGGTCTTGAAATGGATCTTGAAGGTGGCAAGGGAGGGGCCGAGGTGCAGGGACTGCGAGATGGAGTTCCAGAGGGGCAGAGAGGATGAAGGCCCACCTCATCATTGGTGGGGCGGGCACTGAGCGGAGGGAGTGAGTGGGATGGTAGGAGGTTAGGAGGTCTCAGAGGTAGGGGGGAGCAAGACCATGGGGGGCTTTGAAAGTGAAGACCAGGATCTTGAACCGTATCCTCTGTGTGATGGGAAGCCAGTGGAGTCAGGCGAGGATCGGGGTGATGGTCTCGCCGAGCCTGATGCAGAAGAGGACACGGGCTACAGAGTTTTAGATGATCTGCAGCCTATGGAGGGAGGAGATGGGGAGGTCGACAAGCAGGTTTTGAATACTTGTTTCAAATCACATAAATATAAACAGCTACAAGTGTCTGCAAAGTGAAACAAATCAAACTTACCCTCACAAGCAAGTTCAAGACTTCTTGATTAGCAACTTTTGCTTCTCCAAATGTTCTCACATTGAAGGAGCATATTTTCAGTGGCTGAATTCCATTAAGACTGGCAAGAAAGAGTATTCCATGTAAAAACAGTGCTGTCCCCATCGTCAGCTGGCCAGGATGAGATGTTTCTTGTTGCTGTTCATCGGTGGCAATATATTTACATGCTGCGAATACTCTTGTTGCTGCTTATCTTCCTATTACCACTAATCTATTGCTACCTCCCTCCTCTCTGTGTGCCAAAGGGTGGAGTTGGCAATTCAAATGAAAGCTGTTGTAACATTCAAATGAAGTTATTCTTGTTAGTGCAGTGGGAAAATCTTGCTGAACTGGAAATAAACAAGTTGAGTCTTCTTGTAAGAGGGAATATACTGCAACTGAACATAAAGTAATTAGGGCGTGACCTGTAGCCATGACACCATGTGCTTGTATTTTGAGGGAGAAATAAACATGTAGTTTTATTAATCCTATGAGCCCCCATCCAGTATTTGCTACCAATGTATTTGTATCTGTTAGAATTGGTGCTATTTCACGAGAAATTAAATTGAGATCATGTCTGCCTTTTCAAGTGAATGTTAAAGATCCCAAAGCACTATTCAGAAAAAAAAGGAAGTTTCTCCCAGCATCCTGGCCAGCAATTCCCCCAAATAAAATTGGTCATTCATTTCATGGCTATTTATGGATCAATGCTGCATGCAAATTGGCTGCCACATTAGCTTACAAATACAAGGTCACTGATTAGGTAGGGTAGATGAAGCAAAGCTGTAATGGGGAAGGTTGTTCTAGCTAGACAAGTGCCATTAAACTTGCAAGTGTATGACACTGGCAGCATTTGACATTAGTTAAATCTGAATTATCTTTTTGTTTATTACATGGGCCTTGGTACTTTCTCTGAAATGTGCCAGTAAAATATCTGCTGCTTGCGCCAGGCTCAGTTTCCTTGAAAGGTAGCATCCCAGTGTGCCTGACAGTGGTGGAGTCTGACCCCGAGCCAAGGGGAAAGCGGTTGTGGGGGGAGGTGACCGTAAGCACGATCAAAAAGGAAGGTCTTTAGGAGGGATTTGAAGGTGGGGATGGAGGGGGCAAGGCGGAGGGATTGAGGAAGAGAGTTCCAGAGTTTCGGGGCGTACTGGCTGAAGGCATGGCCACCAATAGTGGAGCGGAGGGGATTGGAAGCCAGTGGAGCCTGGCAAGGACAGGTGTGATGGGAGTATGATGTTTTGTGCAGGTGAGAATCCAGACAGCGGAGTTCTGAATTAATTGTATTTTGTGTGTTGTGGACCAGCAAGAAAGGCATTGGAATAGTCCAGCCAGGAAGTGACAAAGGTCTGGACGAGGGTTTCAGCTGCTGTGGGTGTGAGGTACGGACGGAGGCGGGCAATGTGATAGAGATGGAAAAAAGCGTTCCTTGTTAGGGAACGGATGTGGGGTAGAGAGGAAAGCTGGGGATTGAACCTGATGCCCAAGTTGCGCACAGGTTCAGAGAGTCTGAGGGAGAGCCCAGGGAGGTTAAGGAGTTCAGACCTGCAAGAGAGAAGACGTTGATGGGTGCCAATGAGTATGGATTCCGTCTTGCTGACTTTTAGCTGCAGGTAATTTGCACTCCTCCAGGCCTTGATGTCCGTCAAACAAGCTGACAGAACATCAGCAGACTGGGAGTTGCAGCTGGAGAAGAAGTAGATTGGAATGTCATCCACATACGTGTAGAAGATGACATGTGGAGTCCTGTCGCTCAGTGGTTAGAGCACTCGCTTTGCAAGCGAGAGACCTGAGTTCAATTCCAGGCAGGGCGAAACCTTGGGCAAGTTTCCTTACTCCACACGACTAATAATAATCCCTCCAAAACCCAAAACAATAAATTGGTCATTTTCAATCCATGACTGTTTGTGGGACATTGCTGTGCGCAATTGGCTGCCACGTTCGCCCACAAATATACAGTCAATTCACTTTACAGTGTGTTCTGTGAAGCGCTTTGGGATGTCCTCCCGACGTGAAAAGTGCTATATCAAATGCAAGGATTATTATTATTATTATGTTTGCGGATCACATTGCCGAGAAAGAGCATATAGATAAGGAAAAGAAGGGGGCCAAGGATGCTTTATTCTTAGGATACTCAGCACGTGACCGAGCAGGGGCGGGAGGAGAAACCATTTGAAAAGCTGTCACCTCAACAATGAATGAGTGGTGTGAAGGCTGATACTAACTACGTGTGCATGAACAGCAGCACCCTAATTGCACACATTCCTCTCCTTCGGGGGATGTGATTAAAAGATAAAACCATTTGATGGCATCTAATCCGACTGAAAAACTGGGAACTAAAATCTGGCAATCATTCAGTGTGAAGAGAACTGGAAATTGATGTATTAATCAAGCTTTAATCAACTAAGCTTCACATTATACTTACTGAGATACTGATGATGTTCTCATTGAAATTACCAGTACTCTGCCATGAGTATCGTCTCTTCATGCCCCACCCACACCATATTTCTGTTAATGTCCACAGACCTACTGGGAATGGAATTCTTGCTGTTTGTGTGATTTCATGCTTATGCTGAGTTAAGAACAAGTCTTTGTCAAGTGATGCAGATAGCACATTGTTTAATGAGGTTTATAATAATAATCCTTACATTTATTATAGTACATCTCAAAGTACTTCACAGAATATACTGAAAAATGTATATTTTGTAGATGAAAGTGACAGCCAATTTACACACAATTCATCAATTTACTCCAAAGTAACCTCCTCGGGCATGGGTTCAGGAACAGGGCTCCTTAAACAACAACAAAAACAAAATTAAAAATGTATAGCGCCTTTCGAGTCCAGTATAAATGCTCCTTAATAATCCAAAAAAAACGATGCCATTAAATAATGCAGCTATCTGCCTTCCAAATCATGACGAGAATGATTTGCTTCCTTTCCAACAATTTCAAATTCATTAAAATTTCTATAAATTGTATAAAGTGGAAAATGTATTTTTCTACAAAACCTCCACCCTCCCAACCACTACCCTCTCCCCATCTCTCCCTCACAATCCAGCCCCTATCCATCCCTCCCTTCACACTGTTAAGATTGTAGATGTTGTAGTTTAATGAGAATGAAATATTAATCAAATGTAGTGCAGGAAATAGTGACAGTCATGAGATAGGACACATCTGCTTTTCTCTGAGTAATAAGACAGCCTTGGAAAAGGGCAGGAGGTCACCACTTATCAGTAAATAACAACAAACCCCACAGAGATAACGGTCCAAGTTGCCGGTCGACACAGGATCTCGACTTAGCAATAACTCGTTAGATTCTGACAGGGCCTGCCAAGCAACAAAAGGCAACCCTCAAGAATAGCAGCTAATGAGCAAGTTTTTAAACTGGAGGACTTTGGTAGCATCCTGGGATACTGATAAGAAATAACCAGTCACTTAAAAGGAATATACTAATGATTCCACATAACAAAATAACAAGCACCAGATACAGACTTAAACTGATCAATCTCCTATCTTAGACAGGACAAAGGGAAGACCATGTGGAGACTCAGTCAGGCTGCCACCAAGCCAAATGGTTGATTAACCTGAGTACATGACTTTATCAAGAGGGGGTAGAGGGGCCCTAGGAAGGACACTTGGAAAAAGGGTATAACTATTGCACCTCTAGGTGAGAACGGTTAGAAGAACAGGAAGGGTCCAGAGAGAGAGAGACCAGTGTGGAGAGGTCCCTTTAAGAATCACAAGGAAGGTGTTCCGTGATGTTCCGTGACTGTCTACAAAGACTGGTAGTATAATTTGTTAGACATTTGTAGTAGCTTGTTAATGCATGTTGTGTTCACTCTGTTCATAATAAACCCTGCTGCACCATATTTGGGTTGTCGAGTCATATTTCGAACTAAGGGATCGGAAACCCCAACACCTTCAAACCTATCTCCCCGTCCGCTCTCACCACCACTATAACCTGTATGAAGCCCATCACCCGCGCTCTTGACCCCATCCCTACTCCTCTCCTTACCTCCCAGCTCCACCTCCTCGCCCATTTATTCTCAGATCTCTCCCTGTCAATTGGCATGGTTCCTGTTAAATTCCAAATTGCGATGTGCGATTGCTCTTAAAGACCTGAAAACTCAACACGGAGTCAGTGCAGTATACATTCAAAAAGCTTTATTTCATATATATATGAGGTGCAGAGCGGTAGCAACAACTCTCCCAAGGTACTGCTCCCCACACTGCACACCAGAGAAAAACAACATCTGACCTTTATACATGTTCCATTTTCCCATAATTGGATGTCTGTTTCTTTCATAAAAAGAGATATGGGTCCCGGGTTCCTTAGCACAATAACATTGTTATCAATAGCATTGATAGTTGCGAAACCAAAACAAAGCTGAGCTTACACCAAATGCGAAAACATGTTTTGTCTCATTGCCTTTGCTTATTCTGTAACTTTTGCGATTGCCCAAAGAAGAACAACATTACCTCACTTTCCACAGTTCCCACCCCCCTAAAAACAGCTGCCATCACCTCTATCCTAAAAAACCTTCCCTGGACCCATCCTTCTTCACAAACTACCGCCCCATCTCCAACCTCCCTTTCCTTTCCATGGTCCTTGAAAGAGTTGTTGCTTCCCAACTTTGCTGCTTCCTCTCCTGCCACTCCTTTTACAAACCCCTCCAATTGGGTTTCCATGCTGCCCACAGCACAGAAACAGCCCTGGTCAAGGTGACAAATGGCATTCTGTCCAACTATGACCAGGGCTCCCTCTGTCGCATCGTCTTCCCCAACCTCTCTGTTGCCTTCATTACTGTGGATCACTCTGACCTTCTCCACTGCCTCTACTCTCACCTCAACCTTCAAGGTTCTGTGCTTGAATGGTTCAGACCCTATCTCTCACACTGGCTCCGCTTTGTCTCCACAAACGGCTTCCACAAACACCATCTTGTGTGGTGTTCCTCAGGGCTCTGTCCTCGGTCCTCTCCTTTTCAACCTGTACATGCTCCCTCTTAGTGATATCATCCGCAGACATGGGGTCAAGTTCCACATGTACGGGGATGACACCTAACTCAATATCTCTATCTCCAGGATCACTGATGTCCTCACAGACTGCCTGTCAGACGTCAAGTCCTGGATGAGAGCCAACTTTCTACAATTGAACGTCAGCAAGACCGAGGTTCTCCTGATTGGCTCGCGCCAGTGCCTCCGCACCTCAGGCACTGGCGGTATCAGCAACCACGGATGCACACTCCACCTCACTGAGCTAGGCAGGAACTTAGG